AAAAAAAAATCCAGGGAGGGATAGTGGTCTTTCTCTAATTTCCAGTCCCTGTTCTGTTTTTTTTTTTTAAGACAGAGCCTCAAGCTGTCACCCTGGGTAGAGTGCTGTAATATCACAGCTCATAGCAACCTCCAACTCCTGAGCTCAAGCAATTCTCCTGCCTTCGCCTCCCAAGTAGCTGGGATTACAGGTGCCCACCACAGCACCTGGCTATTTTTTGGTTGCAGCCGTCATTGTTGTTTGGCGGGCCAGGGCTGGATTCAAACCCACCAGCTCCAGTGTATGTGGCTGGCGCCTTAGCCGCTTAAGCTACAGGTGCTAAGGCACCCTGTTCCTGTTTTTTCAGGTGTAAGAGATAATCCACACAGCTCTAGAAATGAAAGCTGTAGGAGAACACAATCTATCAGATGAAGGAATCAAATCCAGAAAGAAACCCCAGGCAGGCCCTTAATTGTGGTCAGATCGTTCATCCTTGCCCCACTTCTCCCCAAAATATATGCGACCAAGTGACAAAGAAGTGGGAACTCTGAGGTGGCCTTATATTTTTTCAGAAGTTAATAAGACAGGGATTCAAGGTATTTCCCCACATACAGCATGTAAAGCCAATGTATAACCAGCAACAGGTTAACAAAGTGATACAAAGTATATGACCTCAGTCTAGCTTAGTTGCAACTGAGAAAATGTATATTTTTAGAAATAGTTCTGAAACTAGTCCCATGCTGTGGCAGGCACTTATAGTCCCAGGTACTCCAGCGGCTGAGACAAAAGGATTGCTTAAGCCTGAGAGTTTGAGGTTGGTGTGAGCTATAATGACACTCTAGCCAGGGAGACAGAGTAAGACTGTGTCTCCAAGTAAAAGAAAAAGAAATATGTTCTGAGAAAACAAGCAAATGACAAACCTAAATCTCAATCTACTACATTTAATACTTTTGCAACAATATAGTCTTAGTTCATTTTATAGTTCAGATGGTCCTGATGACTTTCAGTGGTTTGATTTTGCAGTGGTAGACTTTGCAATGGTGCAAAAGTGATCCACATTCAGTAAAAACTGCTTCAAATTTTGGATTTTGGTCTTTTCCCAGGCTGGTAGTAGTATGTTACCATCTTGTTATGCTGGGCAGCAGCAGCAGGGTCAAGAGGGTAAACAACTGATATGCTCTGGTGTATTGTGTTGCCTGAGAATTTTGCCAAACTGTCGCCTAACATGAGTGTTCTGAGCAGGTGTAAGGGCTTAGCTACAGTGTTCACTAGGTTAGGTGCAATAAATGCATTTTCAACTTACAGTGGATTTATTGGGCTGAAACCCATTATAAGTTGAGGAGCTCTGTTATTTCATTGACTCTAAGATGCACATTAAAAAATATTTTAGGGGCTCAGCGCCTATAGCTCAACTGGCTAAGGCGCCAACCATGTGCACCTAAGGTGGCGGGTTCGAATCCCCAGCCCGGACCCACCAAACAACAATGACGGCTGCAACCAAAAAATAGCCGGGCGTTGTGGCGGGCGCCTGTGGTCCCAGCTACTTGGGAGGCGGAGGCA